AAGGAAATTACAAAGGTGAGAATAGAAATCAATGCAATTGATTTCTATGAAATCAATTGATTTCTAGGAAAGCAATACAAAGAACGGATAAATCAAAGAGTTGTTTCTTTGAAAGACTAAATAAAACAGATAAACCCTTAACCAACCTTATTCAAAAAAAAAAAGAGAAATGACTCAAATCCATGCAATTTGAAATGAAAAGGGTGAAATCACAACAGATCCTGCAGAAATTCAGATCTTCAATCCCTATTTGAAGAACTTATAATCTAATAAGATGGAAAACAGAAAAAATGGAAAGATTCCTAGATACATATGAAATACCTAAGCTGATTAAAAGATATAAAGATTCTAAATAACCCAGTATCAGTTAACAAAACTGCAGATGTAATTAAAAACCTACCAACAAAGAAAAGCCCAGGTCCTGATGGATTCACTGCTAAATTCTACAAGAAATTTAGAGAAGACCTACTACCACTACTTCTCAAACTCTTTAATGAAATTGAAAGGGAAAGAAGTGCTCCCAAATTCAATCCTGGAGGAAAGTATTACCGTGATATCAAAACAAGAGAAAGAGAACTACAGGCCAATCTCCTTAATGAACATAGACACAAAAATCCTCAGTATGATGTTGGCAAACAAACTACAGAAAACCATCAAGAAGATTATATATCCTAACCAAGTAGGATTCATCCCAGGGATACAAAGATGGTTAAATATACACAAATCAACAAATGTAATAGACTATATTAACAGAGACAAGGACAAAAAACATATGATCGTCTCAAGAGGTGCAGAAAAGGCAATTGACAAAGTCCAATACCTATTTATGATAAAAACTCTACAGAAAATTGGAATAGATGGTCTTTATCTCAATCTGATAAAAGCCATCTATGACAAACCAACAGCCAACATCATACTAAATGGACAAAATCTGAAAACTTTCATTCAGTTAGATTTTCATTCTAAAATCAGAAACAACACAGGTATGTCCACTATCACCACTCTTATTCAATATAGTTTTGGAAATACTAGATATAGATATCTCTCTTCTACTAGCCAGAGAAACTAAACAAGAGAAACAAATAAAAGGAATAACGATAGGAAAGGAAGAACTTAAACTTATCATTATTTATGCATGGCATGATACTCTACATAAAAAACTCCAAGTACTCTACTAGAAGACTTCTAGACCAAACTAAGTATCATAGCTGGATACAAAGTCAACATTCAAATATCAATAGCATTCCTGTATACAAATAACAAACTCACTGAGAGAAAAATTAGGGAAACAACACATCTCACAATAGCACTCAAAATAATGAAATACCTAGGAATCAATCTAAGAAAGGAAATATAAGACCACGTTATTTCGGAAAAATGAAAAGTGTAAATAAGGACAAAAATGTATAATAGATATTGGGAAATGGGAAGAAAATGTTAAAATGAGAAGGGAAATGGAGTGGGGAGGAAGAAAAAAGAGAAGAGAAGGCAAAAATGGAAACAAAGCTTTTATAAATTAGAAGAGGAAGAGGGTTTGAAGGGAGGGAAGGGGAAAAGAAGAAGAAGCAAGGTATATCACGTACAGGTACAAATTTCCTGTGATATATGTTATCATTATATATGTCTAGTATATC